TTTGTTGGGGGGGGGGGTTGTACTATATAACATGACCTGTTTCTTATCACTTCATACTTTGGTCAAAGGGAAGCAAATTTTGATCATGTACTTTGAATAAAGAATTGAAGAACAAATGCACACATGCATTCATCTGATTTCAGGATTGCTTCACTGGAATTCTGCCAGTATAAACTAATGGAAATAAGAGTCCCTTTAACTGAGTAGATTAGTTATTTGTGATAAAATAGTTCAAAATGTTACTGCTTCTGTCTGAAGAAGTACACTGAAATTAAATGACATAAAATTCTATAGTTCCTTAAAATTGTTGTAGCATGTAGGTAAGGAAATTAAAATGACGTTACACAGTTTGTATCTGTAATAATCATAGCCTTTCTTCTGACCCGTAAGATTCTGGATTTCAAATGTCAAATAGCAGCAGAATGCTGTCAGGATTTTCCAAGTTAAGATGTTCTTACAAAGCATAAAGTGTCTTTGTTTTTAGGATCTTTTCAGTTTAGGTGAAAATATTATTTATGATAGAAATCAAAACACAGATCTAAAAATATTTCTGCAGTTCTGTCCACATGGAAAGAGAGTCTTTTGCTGTTGTTCACAGGACAAATGTTTTTTGACACTTTTCTTAGAATAACATATTTCAGAGAATCTAGGATAACTGGAAAATTTTAATGTTTGTTTTCCTTTGCATTTGGAATTGAAAGAATTGCAACCACCATAATCCATCGAGATTTTTTTTTAATGATAAAAATAATGCAGTTAAAAATACACAGCACAAGCAATAAAGATAAAATTTAACAAACTGCCCTTATTTTATATGTCAAACATATAATCATAAGAAATTACTCAAATGGAAATAAAATACTTATAGTAAAATTATCATTTTTTCCATATTTCTTTATAAACTTATGGCCTGATCTCCAGAATCATATGTATGGATATATATTGTCTAGTCTGCCTTTTAAGTTACTCTAAACTGTAATTTTCCACAAGAATACTTGAATGTCAGTTTTGAGGAGGTCATTTAGGGAAATGATATTGAGGACAGTCTGTTTATTATAAGTTCAGTCAGAATATGGGTTTATCTACAGTGGAAATGCTAGATTGAAGAGGACGCAGACTTAATCGTCTGTGCTTTAATCCCTGGCCTTTATCATTTGAATCTGTGGATGCTGAAGGAGATTTCTAACTCCTATCACAGTGGGGAGAAAAAATATAACAAAACACAAACAAAAAAGACCCTTAATGTGGATTTTTATTTTTAATGATAAACTTAAAACCTCTATTAATATCAAGGAAAGATAAAAAAGCTCAAAAAACACCCCAAATCTTTTTTTTTTGTTTGTTTGTTTAAAACATACTCTGTTCAGATTGAAACAGAAAATAAAAAAAGATATTTTTTTTTGTCTTTGAATGATCAAAATGTTACTTATTTTGGTATATGGACAAAGGGTACATTTTACATAAGTGGGTAGCTACTCAATCACTATGTATCTGATAGGGATTAACTAATGAAGTATTTAGCATCTTCAGAGGTTTGCTCACTAAAAATGCTCTTTCAACTCTTGTCTCATTTACATCAAAATAAATATAGCTGAAATGACAACAAAAGATGGTAGGCCATGATAGTTATTAAGGTTGAATGGAAGGTCATAATTTTTTCATTACGTTAGGAAAACTGAGGTTATTGTCCAGAAGTAGTGGTATATTTAAGTGTGGGCTACCAGGAAGAAAAAAGTCTTGTGCAAGAGCACAGATCAACAGTGTTCCTTCTCTGGGCAGTGATGTGAAGGAAAGGTACGTGCATCTTTAGACTCTGAAATAAAGAAATAACTAAGAAATAAAGAAATTAAAAACTTGAACAGAGCTGATAAAGATGTGTTTTAGGTGCTTTCTACAGCTTGCATACTGTGCCACTTTTTCATATTAGTCAAATGTTTGCGTAGTATATAACTGAGTGTTTGCAGCGACAGTCATTGCTGTTGAATTGCAGTGTCTGTTTAACTTGGAAAAAATCTTTTTGTGGAAATTATATTGATAAAACTTATTTGGTAAAAAATGGTTTGGTTTGTTTTTGTTTTGTGTTTTGTCTTGTTTTTTTTTGGGGGGGGGGTGGAGACAGTAGAAAGATGAGTCCCATCTTTACAATTACTTGATGTCAAGTAAGCTATTCAATGGCTTCTTTATTAATACGAGATGTAAGGGTCCATACATAACAAAGGTAACATAGTGTACAAGATAGGTACAATATTGTACAACATTATTTTTATTGAATTATTAGTAGGTGATAATAGTAGTAGTAACTTCTATTTTCCAAATAAACCTGAATTTCTATACAGCACATTCTTCTCA